TTGTGTGCTTCCCAGCACACAATCCGTGTCCATAAATTGCGCAATCACGTGCGCCACTTTATGCCAAGAGGTACTGGCTGACTTAAATGGCCTTTGGAAGGTTAAAGGTTCATGCCAGAATGTCTGGAAAGGTGCAATATAGTGCACTTCATGTGATTCAGAAGGCTTTTGTTTCATCAGAGCCAGCAAACATTTTAGAACACAGTACAACCCATCCCTGTGGGAGATGAATTTGCATCTTTCCCTACCCTACGAGACAGCATGTTGCTACTGCTGCTGTTGTGAAGAGCCACTCAAGCAAATTTACATCTCTGTATGCTGAGGAAGAAGAAGGAATTTAGTGCTCTATGCAAAGCCCTCTCTAGAGGCATTTTCCCAAATCTGCTGAGAAATCAGACTGAAAGCCAACCAAGCCTTGTCTTCAACAGATAAATGGAGGAGCCAGTAGGAACACATTTTGGTTAGTGTCTTTGCCACCAACATTTAAAGCAACCAGGTGATATTTATAGTCACTCTGGCATCCCTCAGGCCTTTCTTCACTGAGGCAACTAGTAAAAAGTAGATAAGATAAAAAATTTGTGTGCTCCATGAGGGAGGAGCACCTTCCAACAGTTTCTGTGTCCTCTGCCACCACTGCACATTAGTCAGCACTCAGCATATCTGCTTCCCCACCTCCTTCTCTCCTGCCTCTTTCACTTCTTGTGTTTCACAATTTCATTAGAAACATGTGGGAATCCAGGGCTTCCCTCTGGCTGCCCTGGAAGGTCTGGGACCCTGGCAGGGGTCAGGAATCCCCCTGTACAGAGCCCCCAGAGACACTGTCTGTGATCTCTGTCCATGGAGAGGAGTTTTCAATCTCACAGGATGAATTACAAGCTCTGAGTGTTTGATATGAGTAATAATTAAGTGTGGCACGGGTGCAAAAGTAAAATTTTAGGTTTCTAGATTAGGGGTTCAGAGGGGACAAGATGGAGGAATTGGGTGTGTCTTGTCCTTTTCCTCCTTCTTCATGCCCTCCCTGTTTCACTGTAGTGTTGGCATTTTTCTATTGGTTTAGGCTGGGGACACACTATTTAATGTAAATGATAGATATTGGCACATTATTGTAAATCCAGCACAGGTAGTTTCTGGTATTTAATGTTTGTACCATCCCACTGAGGGCAGAGCCCCACACGCTGCCCTGCAGGACAGAGCTGCAGCAGGGCAGCAGAACATGTTAGAGATAAACAGAATAAACAACCTTGAAACCAGCACAGACGAATTATGGCTTCTTCTTTGGCAGCGGGGCTGAAAGACAGAGACTTTCTACAATCTCGGAATCACCAATACCCACAGATTCCGACAGAAACAGAGGCCCTATCTTCCCTTCTCCTCTAGTCTGAAAATATGCAATAAGTTTTCTCAGTTTTTTTTTTAATTTTTCCATTCTCTTACTTACCTTTATTTTGAATAATTCCCTTGTAGTTCTTGTAGTTTTGCTCTCAGGCCTGTTTACCTGCTGTTTATAAGTTCTGGGTATCTGCACCTCACCACCTTGCTTTTTGAACTGCCTCAGTTATTCTCCCTCTCTGGGCCTAATTTAACAGGATTTCATATCTGAATATGTGTGTTTATGTGAAACCTGCACATGTCTTCTGAAACTGACAATGTCAGATAGGTAAACACCTGATGCCAATGGTTTAAACAGGCATCTCTTTTCTATGATCAGTGATAGCTCTTAAACTTGTCCCTAATACATTTAATACTGTACTGGGGGACATGCAAGTGAAACAGGAATATGGACAGTGGAAAAATTGACATATATAAGCAAAAGCAATCATTTTTACATGCAAGGTGGGTGAGGAAGAATTCATTCAAAATTAAGTGAAGTTGTAATAAACTAGACTTCCCAAGGTGATCTGACACTCCGAAAGCAGTGTGATGTAGGTAGAAATTCAGAAAGACACATAGTAGTTTTTTTCTCTCCTATCATTTCTCCATCCTTCAGTACATGGCAATTTGAATGTATGTCAGGTCTCTGCTGTATTTAAGACACAGTAAAACATCAGAAAAGGTTATGAAAGACTGTCTGCTGAAGTGTGACTCTCCCTTCTCCATTCTGGTGCACTACAAAGCCTCCAGAGATTTGTAGTTGCTGAGGCAAAAGACAAAGCAGAAGCATTGCGTTGTAAACCCAGCTTCTGAAATTGAGACGAAGCAGGAATTTCTTCACATAGAAAAAAAAAAAAAAACATGTTAGGAAATAATTCAATAGCTTTATCCACATAAAATAATTGATTGTCTGTCTTTGTGCGCACATGCACATGTGTCTGCCTCCAGATTTAGCTATTTTGGAAACCCTGCTTGCAGAGCTTATGGGATTTGAGATTGAGGCAACCAGGGATCACTGAAGAAGATACACCCTGATAACCCCTGAGCTGGTGAGCTGTAGGGAGCCAAAGCCTGGTTTGTTTCTGGAGACTGCAGACTTGTCACTTGCCGCAGTGTGAGATTACTTGCTTTTGAAGGGGAAGCAAAGCTGCAGAGCAAGAACTAATTGAAGAAGACGCTTGTTAGTTTCCCCCAGAGCCTTGCACTCAAAGCTTACACAGTTTAGTAGCAATATCCCTCTTTCTCTGCACAGTGTTGCACAGAGGTGTAACTAGTCATTCCTGCCTAAGAAAGCCCTGGCTTTAGAGCTGCGTTTGTGCACTCACCCAGGCAGGTTCTTTCAGACCTGCAGCCATAAACTGGGGTCACTGAGCATGAAACCTATATGTGCTGCTGATTAGAACAAATCATGGGATGCTCACCCAAGGTGAGTTCTTCATTCAGTCAAAATGAACTGTTTAAAATGTGAATGAAAAAGAGTAAAACCTCAAGGAAACTTCCAAAACCACTTAAGTAGATGGAATGATTCTGGTACTATTAGTGTCTGAAACTCCCCACAAATGTCAGCAGACTCCACAAGCTAGAGTAATGCCAAGTCATCTAGCCTTCAGAGAGGCACTGAGAGAGCTCAGCAGAAACAACATCTTTTCATGACACATGAAAACTAACCATAATCTTTCCTCCCTACAATTTTACCCACTTATCTTGCTTACCTTTTACCCTCCTTTAATCCCACTTTCTTTCCTATCTCCCTTCTGCTTTTCCTGACAGCCTTAGCTATTTTTCAGAGAGGTAATGGACAGGGAACCCAGTGATACTAGATTTTTCCAGATTTAATGATGACTGGAAAAAGCAAACAGACATTGTCAGTGCCCCTACTGAGGAAACTGCCTGTAAGCTGACTCCCCATTAGGTGCCAAAGCATCCCATCCAGAAACATGCACAACAACCAAATCTTTGCATCTTGGTTACCAGGGAATCCAGCAACTCCTCCCTGCAACTGCAAGAAACCAGACTGTCCCTTTTCCTGCCTAGCTGCTGCTTCTTCGTGACATTAGTACATTATACTCAGCATGCAGGTGATGACTTCAACTCCTTTCAGTCTTCCTTGCTTGCTTGATCTGCCTAGTGCTATAGAGCTTTCTTTAGTCACATGGTCTTTATCCTACTGAGAATTTCTCATGCTGCAGAAATCCTCTCTTCCTGTGTCCCTGCAAGCAATGGTGATAAACAATTACAGCAATGAAGTAGGAAATGTAGCTGCATTCTTCCATGACATATGACTACCAAAATAACCTCCCTAAAATATCCTAGTAAAGCATTTTTTTATCTTCATAGACTTCTTGCCTCACATCTTTCTCTTCTCTAAGCCAAAACCTTCATTTTTAAGTGAGTTACCTGCAGGTGCCAGGTGTTCAATGGCACTGCCTTTATTTACCTTAGGCCTAGGTATTTTTTGCTAGCTAAACCCTACACTGTGTTAAAAAATACCAAAATATAACACAATCATTTCTCATTTCAAAAACCAGCTTCTTCTCTGACACTTCCTCGTGCACTTGTTTCCAGGAGAGAGGTCTTTATGTGTTGCTTTTCACTGCAGGGAATTGCTGTGCTGTACCAGCCAGCATCATAAACCTGCTCATCTTAATGCTCAGACACTCTTCAACTGTCTGAGCTGAGAAAGCAGAGAGTGAGGAAGGCTGGCAGGCATTGGGAGTGCAGGCTGTTGGTGAGCTTGCTAGCTGAAGTGTGCACTTTGTCAAATTTCACGCTGGATAGCCAAGTCATTGATAAGGGAGAAGCTGAAACTATACAAGGGGCCTTAATAAGACTTGTTAGTGGCTGCAGGGAGGTCAAGAAAACAAGAAACTGTCAGTTGGTAAATTATCCACAGCAAAAGTGTTTGTGTGGGGGAAGAAACAGCAATTTAGCTGTCTTTAGTCAGCTAGGGTAATTAATCAGCATCATCAATCCCTGGCATCAGAAAATGCTGGAAAAGGTTTTCAAGTGTTTATAGTTTCAGGATAAATTTCTTCCAGCGCTGTGTACCTGGAATTTCTTGCTCTGATAGCTTTGTCATAGAGTAACAGCCTGCCATGCAGATGTACCCGTTTCCTCCCCTGTGGGAAAAGTATAGCTGCTCCTTCATGGGCCAGATCATCATACCTGGGCCCTCTCTCCTCCACACCCTAAATCACAGAATCACAGAATCACAGAATAATGAGGTTGGAAGAGACCTCTAAGATCATCAAGTCCAACCTGTGCCCTAACACCACAACTAGACTATAGCACCAAGTGCCAAATCCAGTCTTTTTTGTAAACATATATAGCGATGGTGATTCCACCACAAATCAACTAGGTCTTCAAGACCATTGATTTTGGGGTTTTCCCAGCTTGCTTCTGCAGTGGCAGAGTGGTGTGTTTTCTCGGGGTGGGGGAAGCTGTCAGCTGTTGCCCACCCTGTGAAGGAGCATAGAGGATCAGAGGGAACTTGACCTGCCTGAATGGTCACAGGGGGCCAAGCCTAGTGCAGTGTCACCCAATGGAAGTCAGATCCTGAGACAGACTATCTGCATTACCATATTTCAATTACCTGTGTTCATACCTGACCACTGCAGCCAGGCCAAGAAAACACTGCCAGGCAGAAAAACTAAGCCATCTAGGTTTTCAAGAGTTTCACTTCTTTATATGGCTGGACCTCTTGCTTCCCCCACCTAACTGAGCCAATTATGATGTCTCATGGATTCCTAAGGTCTAATAAAGCAGAATTTTGCTTTAGTGCTTCTCTTGTGCCAACCTCCAGCTCCTTCCCCGTTGCACAGCACCACCTCACACACCCCAGGTGAGGTATTTCTACCTCTTATTCTGGTTTGTGCAAGGAAGGGAGCAGTGTGGTAGCCCACAAAAGACTGGCTCCCCAGTCATCAAAACATTACAGCATTTGTACATTTTAACAAACAAAACATCAGCATTCATTGCTTACAGATTATGTGACATCCATTAATTAGCACTCAGCCCCCTGTTTGCTATGCTAATTAGTCTGCAGGTGCAGTTCTTCCCTCTGCCTGACTCCAGGGTCTGTTTGGAGCAGGTGATCACTGAGTTGGTGTCCACTGCTGGATTTCCCTCCTCTCCAGTTACTGACAGTTCTGACCTTACTCCTGGTGGCTCTCATCCAGGCAGCCCATCTCATTCATCTTGGGATTGTCTTCCCTTTTCCCTAAAACAAACACTAGCCAAGCATATAATGTTAACAGTGCAATTGCTTAATCATAACTGTCTAGCTGCATCTGCTGGTTGACAGCAACAAAAAAAATTGTGAAGTTTGATTCAGATCTTGATACTCTCAAATCTTGAGGGGTTCCATATCACTTTCAGTCTTTCATAGGTCCTCTCTACTTTACTCTCTACTCAAGTCATGCAACATTGCTTCCTCCCTGCATGTTTCTTTGTACTTGATAAGGGGAATAAAGTATTAAGATGGACTGACAGTGACACACAGAGACATTATAAGCCTGTAAATCCTATTTCTAGAGGAAATAAGTCAAGAACTCTTTACATCTAGTTGCAGGCTGTTAACCTTATCTGCACTAGTAAACTAAAAAAGTTTCCTTGTCCGAGCTTTTTTTTTTTTTTTTTTTTTAACAAGACATCTTCTGGCATATCCATCAAATGAAACAAAGCTTCAGCAGGATTTCTCCCTTACTTAGGCTGTTCTCAGTGCCTGTGTTCTCAAAATGTAGATGGAGAATGAGACTTGGGTCTCAGCAACTCTGGAACCAGCTGAGCTTTTGGAAGATGGTCAAAGATCACCAGTGCTCCTGACAGTAGAAAAATAAAAATAAAAACCAGTAGTTTTGTGTCCATTTTAATAAATTTTGAAAGCTTTCAATGAGGACAAGAATTACTAAAACAAATAATCAAAAACTGTGGAGAAGATGAGATTTCTATTCAGCCCGTAGTAAGAAAGGTTTTCTATTCCTTGAATGCCTGTATTACTAGGACAGGCATCTGCATATCCTCTTTTACTGAAGTAGGAGTCTTCCTTGCACACTCTATTTTAAACTGCAGCAGACTCTACTGTGAAGTTAATTATCAACATAGGCAGAACACCAAAACCACACAGTGTAATAGGTACAACAGCAGATCAAGATTTTTTTTCCCCCCCCTCTGGTTTGTTTTTGAAGGGGTCTTTTTCTATTATTTTGCTTGTAATAGCGATTAAGCTCAGTCCCAAAAATTCTACAAGGAAGAATGAACTACAAAAAAATCACATCTCTTTTTTTTCAAGGAAAATGGCACAAGGAAATAGATGAAGAGGCCGCACCTCATCATTTTCCTCTCATCTTACATGCTGGCTTCCTTAAAACACTCCATGTTGTTGTTATTTGGGCTTCTTAGGTTGTTCCAAGAGGATGAATTACAATTGTTAGGAAGCTGTGAATTTCCACCCTCAGCATATCGAAGATCCCTCGTTCACATTCCACCTTTGACTTCTATTGATCAGCTATTCCTCAGAATCCCAAGCAGAGTACCTATAAATTTGTCTCCCTCATTTTGTTGTGTTAACATGACTTGACTGAAAAGACACATTCATTCCTTCTGAAGCTCATAATTTCCCTTACTAGATGAGAAGTTAATCCTTTCCACCCAAGAACAGGTTTCACTGCCACTATGGATGTCATCCTTCTCTGGGTATTTCTGTCCATTGTGTTACCCTATTTTTATCTGGTTCTGGGTCCCCTTCCTGAGTACTGAATGCACCAAGAAAAAACTGTTTTTCAGCTTTTTCTCAACCCATAGTGGTACCAATCTTAGTTATTGTTAACAGTTTAAAAGTTCCTTACCAGCTTGAAACTCTGTCTGGTGAAAAAATGTATCAAAGTCGGTTTTCCTATAAGTAGGTGAAGTGTGACTCAACAGTAATTAAGAAAGACATTAAGAAAAGGAAAGAAAGATAAACATCCTGACAGTATAAGTGTGGGTATCTGGAGCTGCAAAGGATGGCAGGTTGTGAGTATGATGCTTCAGGATATGCCACTTAGCCAAGTGCAGCAGGGCCTCGCTGTCAGCTTCTTGCTGCCTGCAATACTTAACATTCTAAGGTGAAAGAGGAGATCTGTCATGGAAGGAAGAGCTGAGAATTGTGGAACACTGATATTCAAAAGGAATGAAGCCATTTCTGTGGGGGAAGACCCTAAAAACAAGAAGAAATAAATAATCCCATCATCAAGCCATGGCTCCTAGGAAGCAGTCCCTTCCTTCTGTGTGGAGAGAATCTGTAGCATTTCTTCAAAGACTACATTGCATATGAACTTAAAAAAAAAAAAAAAGCAGACAAGAAAAAAATCACATTAAATGGCCAAACAGTGCCATCTGGGGACTACTCTCATAAGAATAGCATGAGCAAAAGGCAATAAAGTTAATGAAGGACCTGCTTTTTCATTCAGAATGAGCAGAACTTTATTCTGTGGGAAATTTTGATTATTTGCACGGGGCCAGTCTTGGGGTCAGGCACTGAGTGGCACACAATGCTCTGTTAACAGTCAGGACTGCTCCAGGGAAGGAACAGCAACACATCTCTAAATTCAAGAGCTGTGGTCAAGCAGCAGCTTTCTTGTATGTTCTTGATGGAAAGAATTTTTAAATTTGAAGCTTGTAGGAAACAGGAGACTACATGGAAATCAAGGAAAGGACAATATGATGTAAAACCAATGGAGAAATGCTTTCAGAGCTTCTTGTTTTACAATACTATACAACAGAAGTTTATTTCACAAAACCTCTGGGGCAAAGTGATCCCCCCATTTAAAGCAGTTCTATTCATACGAGTGTCTGAGATTTTGCTTAAGAACTGCAGTAAAATCACAGAATCGTTTTATCAGAACGGTTTGGGTTAAAAGAGACAAGAAAGGGCTCCAGTCCCCCTGCCATGGGATACAGTGAGCACTACCATGTAGCTGTTTGTACAAGCAGTGGGAATATACTGCTTTCCAGGCTGGTGCAGATGACACAAATGGAATCAGAGATCGCTTGTAAGGACAGCTGTGTCATTTCAGAAGTGGCATGAGGGAAAGGAGAGTGCAAGAACAAAGCACCTGCTGCTGCCTTCAGGCAGGCAGATTCAGTCTGGGCTCCTGCAGGAATGCAAGAGTGATGGTTGCCTAGAAAATGCAGGCTTTTCAGCAGAATATAGAAAACCCAGAGATGGACCAAATCTGCTGATTTGGGTGTTACGCAAACAAAAACAAAGAGCAGCTGCTTTTAATCCCAAGCTGCATATACAAAAAAGAGAAGTAGAAAAGTAGCAAGGGCAATAATTTTTTGCATTTCTTTCAGAGCCTTAGATTTCCTTGAAGGATTATGAGTATTATGTTAAAACCTTCAGTTTAAGCTGGATCAAAGAGGAAGGAGGCACCGAGGCACCAGAGAATGTGGTCTTCAGTAAGGAGCTATGGAAGTAATGTAGGCTTTTTTTTTTTTTCTACTTTTACCCTCAATGTGCCTACAAACCAGGCTAGCTCTTGTAAAACCAAAGAAAAAAAAAAAAAATTAGCTGCATCAGAAGTCTCTGCAATGTTTGGCTGCCCATCTGTGGTATTTTAACATTTTCAAGATTTCAAAATGTTCAGCATACAAGTATTCCCTTCTGTTATATTTATAGTATTTAAATCACATGCTATTTATTCTCTTTATTATTTATAACGCGTTCATTTCAATTCACCTGCTGCAATACACAGTTCATTTTTTATACATCATTTCTAATTTCAGTGAAATCTGCCTTCTCTTGAGCCAACCCCTGGAACTGAGTTCTTATTCAGAGACCAGCGCCTGGGAAATCTGCTAAAACAACAGCACACGATCTGCATCCTCATGAAACTGCCTGACATTTAGGGTCACCCCCATGTTGATGTTAAGCCTGCTGAGACTGCAGTGAGAACAGTAGGCACAGCCTCTCTCCTTCTTATATATGCAAGGGAAGCAGAACAAGTCATCCAGCCACTAGGATGGAGTGACCCCCACTTTTCCACCTTCCTGCTCAGTCTGAACAAACATAAGTGATATTTTGATCTCTCTGTTGTGGCTACACTCACTACAGTGTGTGAAGATACCATGAACCTTACTGGGGGCAGATTTGCCTCGGAACAGGCACTGAACAACCTGCTCTTGAGGAAAATCATAATCAGATGAATAGAAATCAAGGCACAGTAAATGAATTCCCTCCAGCTTGCGGCAGTTTCAGGGCAGGATAGGCAGTTCCATGGCACACATATCATACCAGCACTCAGTAACTCCTCTCAGCTTCATCCAGAGTCTCCAGAGGTCCTTGGGGAAGTTTCTCTCAGCATCCTCTCTAAGGCACAGCTGTGGGTATGTTCACAGGGGCTCTCCAGCCCTTGCTTGGGCCCTCTTGCACTCTCCACTGATCCTCCTTCTTGCACCAGCTCCCTGGAGAGTTTGACAGCCCTCCCCTCCAGCACAGTGATGCTGCATCCTCTGTTTTCACAAATGAGGGTTGTTTAAAAAGTGTGTTACCATGGACGTAGGAGATGCTATACAGCAGCTGGCAAAAGATGCTTTTTGCTGGTAGAACTTTTTTGCAGGTATACCAGGGGAGCTAGAGTAACAAGAAAGTTTTAGACTGTTCCCAGTATGCAGTCTCAAAAAAAATCATTCTTTGTTTTATTCATTTCTTCAGATACAAAAGAAATATTTATTCAGCTCCTTAAGGAATTGAACTATTGACCTTTCTGAATGTCAGAAAGCCTAGAAGTAGGGCAGAGAAAGAATGATTATCATATTGTTGAAACAAAAGAACTCCCATATCTACTAACTATTAGACCTGACATTGCCTGTGAAAAAGGAGGAGGACAGGATGCTGTTGTTAGAGCAGGATCTGTTGGGGGTTGGTTGCACAGATAATCCAGGGTGGTAGAGATTTTTCTCATGTTTTGGAGGGCACTTGACTTGTTTCAGGTGGCACACACAAATAAGTCACATACTTAACAATAGTTGTTTGCAAGATGCAGGAAGCAGCTTTGGGGGGTTTCTCCTCTGGAGAGCCCTCAGAAATATGTTTTTGGTAGAGGTGCCATTTTCATTTTGACAGTAACCCACATACTGCAAGTGTCCTCCAGGACTGAACCAGAGCCATTTTTGGGAGTCATCTCAACTGCAGTGACAAGGCAGACATTTCCTTTCACAGGCCAAGAGCTAATCATCATTTATTTATCAATGGCTTGTGTTTGTTCAACACTGTATGGCTGGTAGCCAGATAACATTAATAAAAGTGAGTTCACCTTGTGTTGTGGTTTGGTTTCTGTAAAGTTTCTTTTTGCCTTTTCTGACAGGTGTCCCATGTGAGAAGGTGTGTCTTAAACTGGCAGTGACAGTGACAAAGATCATCTATTTTCACTGGAAGATATTACCATTGCACAATTCATGATGAACTAAAATGATTTTAGAAATTAAGAACTGCTAAAGAATTCTTTTTTCTACATTCAAAAAGCCCAAAAACCTGTGCTTATACCCAGTGAGGCAACCCAATTCCTTTACCAGCAGTGGTGGGATGTACATATATTTGGAAGAAACTAGAGTGCCCAAATACATTCTTGCCTGTTTCTGTGCTTCCAGGAAGCCAAATGTGCTGTTTTCAGCATAGAAAAAACTGCTTCCTAGGATTTCTGTGAATGCAACTCCCCATGCAAGCTGCAGTCCAGGTAATTTGATAGCAGGTGGATGTTCAGGAGAGGGAGCTGCTCAAAGGGGCAGAGCTAAGGTTGAATAAATATTCAGATTTCCCTGTGCCTGGTTGAACACCTGACTCTTGCTTTGAAAGGATTTGTCTGAAATCCCCTGGAGGAGTCCCTCCAGGTAACAGCTGCTGAATGAATGCCAGGGTGAAAATGCCTGAACCCCTGGTGTCCAGATTCATTGTCAAGCAGCTTCTCTCTTTTTGGAAGTTGCTTTGATTAGGATTCATCGACTCTTGCAGTATCACATCCACTAAGTGCTCAAACAGCAACATCAACCAGAGATCTGAGAACAGCTTTTACACTCCTGGGAGAGTTTCTATGAATCTGCTGAGGAATCACTGTGTCTCACAGCACTGCAATTTTTCTTTATCTCATCTTCTCACTGCCCTCTATTTCCAAGGGAAAAAAAAAAAAAAACCAAACCAAGGAAAGGTTGTGATGCAGTCACAAGGGAGAGGTTGTACAGATCAGTAAAGTTGCATTTGGGTTGCCAAAGCTGAGGGAATGATGTTCCACATCCCAGGGTGCACGCAAAAAACACTCTGCATGTGGGAGCTGTGGTTCACACATTTCGTGCATTGTAACAGTAACTAAAGGAAGGATTGGTGGTTACTCAGGTCTGTCTCCTAAATGAATATCCCTCATTTCTGAGGTGCAGTGGTAGCAATAGCTGAGGCTAAACATCTACCAAGGCATACTTCAAGGCAGGTTTATGTCTCTGTGCAGCTATAGTGCCTGAGGATGCCCAGGGAGCCTTTACACCTCCCTCCTCTCTCCCTCCTCCCTCCCTCCTCTCTCCCTCCTCCCAGCTGCGTTTTGCTGATCCACTCTGCACGGCAGCTGCCCAGGGAGAGCGTGGGGTGGGTACTGCCTCCTACACCAAGATCAGGCCAGGAAATTGTGTAATTTTTGTTTCTGCACAACTAACTCCTACTCAGAAAAGGGGGGGAAAAACAAATCCTCTTTATTCCCATCAGCAGAAAGGAGATTTTGTAAGCTACTAAGTAACAGGTGTGAGGACTTACTACCTGCATAAGATTATTCTTTTAACAGCTGTGTGCTTGTAGCATTGCTTGAAACAACTGAACGTGTGTATCAGCTCTGCCCACTGGGGCTCTCAGTGGTTAATCCACAGTACAGGGATACAGAGCACAGCTAAAAATTTGAAGAATGACTTTAGGCTTTTCTTATATGAAGAATGCAAATTATAAAACAATTCACCTCAGGGACTATTATGCTACTGGTACAGCTCCAGACAATTTGAGACCTGCAAACAGGCTTCCACAGCAAGAATCAGAACATCAGTTGTGCTCACTGGTGGCTCAGAGGAAATGGGCCAAGCTGAGGAGGAACAAGCCTCCAGAGAAATGTTTGTTGGTTCTGCTGTCCAGCTCTCTGCTGCCCTCGTTTTAGGAATCCCTTCCCAAGAAGAACCTGGTTGTGTTTAATGGATGCAGCAGCTTCTCATGACTAAAGCACCGTCTCAGGCACTGTGTTTGTGCAGGTCCTCTACCTTCTGCAGCAGCATTTGAGGTGTGTGGAGAGAAGCCTGCTGCCCTAAGTTAGTCACAGGGAGCAGTCTCTTGTTTGGCTGTAAAGCAAACCCAGGTCCCTGGGACTGGCCCTTTCATCATGCAAGGAGGAGAAGGAATCATTGGATCTCATTGGAGGTTTTTGCTCTGCCACCTGAGGGAAAACTGTAGCAGGGATTAGTTCCTAACAGTGGAGGACCTGGGTCAGGTGCACCTGAGAGAGAAACATTGCTCTGCAATGTTAATTAGCATGATACTAAATAATTATACCCTGCCTTCCTTTCCAGCTGAGCTAGACTGAGGTACAGCTGATGGAGGAGGGGTGCAGAGCTCCCAGTGAACCTCTCTGAAGAGACTGAGGCTCTATCCTGTGTCAGCCAAGGCCCATCAGCTCCTTCTGTGTGTGTGCTGGGGCTCCAAGAGCCACAGACGCTGACAGTGGAGCACTTTGGAGATTAGTCCAGGTGGGAGAAGCCCCTTTTCCTCACTCTGAGAGCATGTAGAGGAGCATTGACTCCCAGACTTGTGAGGTTTCCATTAGAAGACTTTCACAGTGATGAATTTGGTTTCCTCACTTTCCCAGCCACCCCCCTGTTATGTCATTTTTGCATGTTCTATTTATCTGAGAGGGGATTGAGCTGTGAAAGGAAAAGACAAGGACAGCAAAGCAGAGGATCAAGAAACAGGATACTGAGCTGTGCAGTCAGGGCTGTCCAAGGACAGCTTCACACAGCTGTGCACCTGAGCACTACAGCCGAAAAATAAAGCAAACCTGGGTATAAAAAATAAACCAAGGCTTCTTTCTTACACCACATGTGACTAACAGCAGCCAAGAGGGTGAGGTGAAGTGCAGGGAACAAGGACAGACAGATCAAGCATCCTCAGACCCATTCCAGACCTGATGGCCTCAATATCTTCCTAATACCAACAAGTCTCTTGGTGTTTTAGTCTTAAATTTCCATTTTCTTGTGTGGGCACATCTGCATGAGTTCACGCATGCTTTACACCTCCTCACAAACACATAATCCCTCGGCAGCTTGAAATGCATCTGCAGGGAAGAAGGGAGGCCTTTACAGTGTGAGACACTCTTTAGAGATCTCTGGTTAGATTGATTATGTCAAATGTTGCAACCATATAAAACCATGTAACTTCAAACTGAAACTCTAGAAACAGATTCGGGCAAAAACAGTCACTGTTACCAAACTCATCAGGAAGGCTGAAGCACAGAGAGGAGAGATTTGCTTGCATTAACCAGGAACAGAAAAAGCAGATGACCAAAAGGAGACCTGTATTCAAAACCAGTTGATGAGAGAGTGATTATAAAGTCTTTCTTGGATCAGAATACAAGCTGAAGCATTAGAGGCAGCAAGCACCTCTTTAAATCAGTATGAAATGTTCCTATTTTCATACACAATTAGCCTCATTAGAGCAGTAAGAGCTGCCTCAAGTCTCCTTAATGTATTCATTGCTTGTGGAAAATTTCCTCTTGCATCTTTGTTACAGTTTCTCCCACAACATATCTCTCTGAATAGGTGATCGTTTCAGTCAGAGTGTGAGGAAACATCTGGGCCCATCTGGCTCAATTAAAGTGCCTTGTTCGAAAAGCATAACCCATCATTTTCTGCTCATCTTGTTGTATTTTCACTTTTGTCTGAAATTAGGACACACTTGGAAACGCTAATTATTTCATGAATCATCTAACATCAGACGTGATACATCTTTTTTGTTGTTGTTGTTGCTGTTATGCAGAGCTCTTACTTTCAGTTCTTTTGTCCACCGATACCAGCATTACGCTGTCTGGCTTATCTCATTTCTCAGGCTCTAAATAAAGCCTTCCTGGCTCTGAAACTGGCCGTGCATGTGGCAACGTGCTGCGCATCCCCGGGTTGGGGCTGTGCCCTGGAGGAGGCAGATGTGCTGTGCGATGACGGGAGGGGGATGCTCACAGCCGCATCCAGCCGGGGCTCGGCATCGTTTGCAGCCCAACAAACCTTTCTCTAGACAGGACACACGTAAAACCTGCTCCGGGGCCAGAGCACAATCAGTGCTCACCGCTGGGCACAAACCCTGACACCTCAAGGAGTCAGGGCAGCTCCTCAGCAGAGGGTGAGAAGCTGTGAGAGGAAAAGGAAAAACCAGAGGGAGCAGCAGGGCACTTGTGCTGCTGTATGACACAGAGGTGGGTCTGCTGCAGAAGGGTGTGTAGAAAACAAGTTTTGCCTTGTAGCTACTGTGACAGGAAGAGTAGGCAGGCCTCTCCAAGACATTTAGGACAGGATTTCTTGTCCAGGAGAGGGCAGGCAGGTCCCTCTGGCCTCCTGGCCAAGCATGAGGTATATCAGGGGGAAGCAGCAGAACAGCATAGAGGGCTGGTTGAAAGTACCCAATTCTTTTTATTCAGTTCATTATCCCATGGTACAAAAGGGTTTGTTAGCATGACACCTGTCCCTAGAGAAGGGCAGATCCCCTCTTTGATGCTGAACTATTAGACCTGCATTTTCATGGTCGGCCGTTCCAACGCTTCAGGCTCACAATATCACAGACACTGTATGGAGCTTTCCAGAAAACCCAGGTATGATAGCCCTGGAGCCAAAAGAATAACCGTTCAAAACTGACTTCCAGGGGTCCAGACAGCACAAGGGAGGGTGGATCTATTTCAGGGCCTCTGAGGAAGCAGTGTGCAGATTCCCAGCTCTCGTGTGCCTTGCTTCCAAAAGGTTTGCTCTGAAGTCAGAGGTGCAAGACCACAGCAGGTACCCAGAACCCCAGAGCTGCCCTTCTTCCTGCAGCAGCCTCTGTTAGCCCTAGAGCAAGCTCCTGCAAACAGTTCCCCTGCAGCAAGGCAGAGCCAGCTCCCTTGGCAGCTCCTGGTGTTGAGTCTGCAGCAGCAGGAGCACAACCAGTTCTGCCCAGCGAGGGATTTCTGTGGGAATCCAGGGCTTCCCTCTGGCTGCCCTGGCAGGTCTGGGACCCTGGCAGGGGTCAGGAACCCCCCTGGACAGAGCCCCGAGAGACACTGTCTGTGATCTCTGTCCATGGAAAAGAGTTTTCAATCTTACAGGATGAATTACAAGCTCTGAGTGTTTGATATGAGTAATAATTAAGTGTGACACGGGTGCAAAAGTAAAATTTTAGATTTCTAGATTAGGGGTTCAGAGGGGACAAGATGGAGGAATTGGGTGTGTCTTGTCCTTTTTCTCCTTCTTCATGCCCTCCATGTTTCACTGTGGTGTTGGCATTTTTCTATTGGTTTAGGCTGGGGACACACTGTTCAACGTAGAGGATAGATATTGGCACATTATTGTAAATATAGTACACGTAGTTTCTGGTATTTAATGTTTGTAACATCCCACTGAGGGCAGAGCCCCACACGCTGCCCTGCAGGACAGAGCCGCGGCAGGGCAGCAGAACATGTTAGAGATAAACAGAATAAACAACCTTGAAACCAGCACAGACGAATTATGGCTTCTTCTTTGGCAGCGGGGCAGAAAGACAGAGACTTTCTACAATCTCTGAATCACCAATACCCACAGATTCCAACAGATTTCTGCCAGACGTCAGTCTCTGCTCTGCGTAGCTGCACTCTGCTCATACAGAGCCTCAGGGTTCAACTGGCCAGCAGTGGCTCCCACTGCTCCTGGACCTGGTGACTGTGCAAACTATGACATAATAAGTAGAGGGGCAGGAAACAACTTGTGGCATCTCATCCTCTGTGTCCCCAGGGCTGAAATGTCCATATTAAAAGCAAGAAAGATTCTAACTGCATGTGTTATTTGCTAGAGATCAATTACAGATCAGTGTAAACAGCTGATCTCCTACTGAATTCACTTCTTTATTGTACAATTTATTAGAGGATTATTCAGACAGCTCAGCTGGACCTTACCAGCACATCAATATTTATTCTGCCCTTTAGCAAGATGCAGAAGTGGAGAGAATTTTCTTGCTAAACTCTCCTGCTGAGAAGGCTGCACCTTGCTAATGCCACAGAAATCCTCTCTGTCCTCTATGAAGGCTTGTGGTCCCATTTAGACCCAAGTGGCACAAACAACACGATGTCCATGTGTCCTCAAAGAGACACCTCTGCCCAAACCAGGGAGTCCACAGCACTGGCTGCTCACTGCTGACTAGAAACCTGAGCTGAAGCTAAAAAGATAAATGGAGGCACGACTGCAGCAGTACTTAATGCCAGGGGAACGCCTTCAGAATTCAAAAAATTCTATAGTGAGAGAAATAGAAAAATCACCACTATTTCAGATGACTCTGACATTGGAGTTGCAGAGATAGATAAGCAGATAATTCTGCAAAAGCCACGTACCTGAAAACAAGGCTCTGCCTCAGCACACATTTGCCTAGAGTGCCGGGCTGCTTTCTTGTTCATGCTCACTGCTCCAAAAATAAATTTCTTCAGCATCGATAACTGGGTGATTAAAAGAAGGGCAAACATTACTTCAGACACAGTCAAATATCAGGAAATATGAAATACATAGGCCTATAGCAAATGTACTAAAGGCACTAAAATCTAAAAACCTGGGATTCTTTAGAAGCTGCCTAAATGATCAGAAGTATTGACCTCCCATTGCAAAGTCCACAGTACCATAGGTTGTTTCAAGGACTTAACTCCTCATAACTCTTGGAAATTCCTTACAGAACAAAGTGTGTGTTTGCTCTCCACAAACATGTCACTGAAAACAGAATTTCTGACATCTCATGTCTTTCATATCAAAGAGGTCTTGGATTTGCCCTTTCTAACATAGAAATTGTAACCTTGTAGCTCAGCCATATTAACAACAGATCTTGAGCTTCAAAACATTGCTTTAATAGACCTCAAGTTGTCAGGCCTTAAATCTATCTTTGCTTGATTTTGGCCATCTGTGCAAAATGCATGTTAACATGCATCACTTGCAATTTGTCTTAGACACTTATTGCCTAGTTTGTCTGAGCTGCAACAGCAAAATTGTCTGATGGTCAGTGCTTGCTTTTGTCCTGTGGCTCAGAGCTTTTTTTTTTTTTTTTGAGATATTGCCTCAAATGTCTTTTAGTGTAAGTTTTGGTTAGCTTCTGCTAATTGTGTTGTTATTTCTTTCTGAGAAATTGTGCCTTATACAAAGGAACAGCAAACCTGAATAATCATGTATAATTAACCCTCTGCACCCGCAGGAAACAAGGAAGTATAAACTACCACTATGTGCAAGGTTGATACATACAAAGATCTCTCTAAACATACCCAAGAAGAAGAAGAAAAATAGTAACCATTTTCCACAAAGCATTTTCCAGGAAAAATGCTGTGAAATGCTAATGAACAAGGTACAGGAAGGGATAAGGCAAGATATTGATGAAGTAACCAGTGTTACAAGCAAAGCATTGTACCTTTTAGGACAAACTCTTTGCTCTTTTCCTTATGTTGGAGAAGCCAGCTCAGGAGTAATGCTGTGCCCAAGATGAAGCCAGGACATGTCCAGGCTCTTCAGCTCCAATAAAACTCCTGTCTCTTGCCCTGTCACGATATTCCCTTTCCCTAAAAACCCCTCTCTCTCCTTTTTATAAGCCCCCTTTAGGTGCTGGAAGGCCACAATGAGGTCACCTCAGAGACTTCTCTTTCCATGCTGAACAATCCCAGTTCTTCAGAGGAGATTCTTCTGAATCTCTGTGGCCTCCTTGGAACTCCCACAGGTCCCTACCCTTATGTGAGGGCTGCGGAGATGGACTCAGTACTTCATGAGAGCAACGTAGAGGGAAAACTCAACCCATTTCTAAGAGAAAGGTAAGGAAAAATTGCTTGGTTTTCTTTGCCTTGAACTAGAGTGACTTCCTGGAAAAAAATGCAGGGGTGGGTCTGGCAGGAGGACAGAGTTGGCACAGTAGGTAGGTGTGATACATGGATGAAAAATTAAAATTTTATAATTGGATTTCTTTTATTTTTCAGCACACTGGGATTTTTTCTGTAGTAGGAATTTTCTTTTAAAAGGCATGCGCACTCCTTGGGGATTTTCGATTTTTTTTTAATTATCTTACACTAATTTACATATACATAGAATTTTACAATAGGTTTATATATATTTGTTTTGTTAATTTCAAGTTACAATTTATAATTAGCCTTTTGTACAGAAAACTCTCTAATTTCTTTGTCTATTTTTGCAGACTTTTACTTTTCTTAGTTTTAGAGTTCAAGGGGCCCCTCTTATCTTTTTACCTTAAAGATTACATTCTTTTCTTTTTAGTTGAGATAGTTTTACAAGCATAGCAGAGTAAATAGATTAAACAGCATATTTTACTTATGTTAATAAACTACTACACAGTACACTGCACCTAAATCTAAATAGATTTTTTTACTCTATTAAATTTTACTTTGTTTCAGGCGTGTGTTTTCTCCTGTGCATTGCTCAATGGGGGTCATCAAAACTGATGCAGACTTTTTCCTGTTGAGGGATACAGAGGTACACCACTGCTCTGCAGAACTGGAGCTTCATTTCACAATTCTAGATAAGAGCATCTCCTTCTTTGGATGCTTCTGCAAAAATTGCAAATACTGCCAGAAGAAATGCTTTTGGAAAATATATTTGCATTTCTGCCTTTCTATGGAAAAGGATATGAAGTATTACATGCCACCATGAATCACAGCAACAGGAATTCCAGTCTATGCTAAAGATCTGCTGAAAAATTCAGCAGATTCTGATCTTCCAGCATCTGGAGTAATCTTCTAACACTATTTGCATAGCACTGAAATTAAAGAACAGCATTTATCATTTCTCATTTGAAGCAGACACATAACACTTCACAGCAATGGAATTAAAAGTTGAAGCTCATCTGATTTTATTTACCTTACACAAGATGCTTGATCATATTAAAGATGCAGTTTCCAGCCATTCATCCAAGTGAAACTCAAACTTTGTTTTTGAGGTCTTGTTGGTATTAAATCCTTTTGATTTGCTGTCATTTGGGCTGAGTTTTATACCATCCCGCACACGGATTAATAGATGCACATAAGCTTTCCTTTGAAGCTGTGAACTTTTTTTTTTTTTTGGCAGGAAACATTCCAGGACAGAAATTGGTTCAGAAGCTGAGTTTGAGTATTCGAGATGCTGACCAGATGAATTTTGTGGCACTCATGATGGGGCCCAGGAACTCTGGTGCTTATTCTGTTCTTCCTCCTCCCACTGCAGCTGTCTGAGCACCTGCATTCCCAATACTGGGCATCTGTGCTGAGGTCTCACCTGCTCACCACAGGCTGAGCACATGCAGGGCACAGCCCTGGGGCCCACCTGGATCTTACTGCCCAGCCCCTTGCTCTCCTACGCTGTTTCCAGTCTCTGTGTCCATCCCCACCTGAAGTTCCAAGACTCCTGTGGTGCATTTCTCCTCTTCCTCGTTCTCCAGCATAGATAACTTGCTTCTGTCCACTTAGTGAAGCATCTGTTCTCATGTGAGTTCTGCCTCTGGCATTGTCAGCCTGTCAATTTAGACATCCAAAAGCAGCCCTTTTTTGCAATATGCATACACAAACTACACAAACACATTTAGAATGTTTAGCATTTAAAAAACCTATGTGGCACGAGTGTGAAATGGTGATGAACACATCATTCTGCCAGCAGATGGCAATCAAAATAAAGAAACATGATTACCGATGATAAATAATTCCACATAAAATCAGGTGCATTTTACTCAGGGGAGCAATGCAGTTGCCACCCACCATGAGGCGGTACCTGGCAGAGAATGATGTCCCTTCTGCCTCTCCCCCTTGCATTAATTCCAATAAAGATTTTATAAGAAACCTCCAAATATCCTTTTATACATTTGGAGATGGTAAACAATTGCAGTTCAACCCTCCACACGAGATGTGGTCCTCATGATGTCCCACAAGGAAAAAGAAATAAAGAGGTCTGACAGAGGCTCATCCCTTGCACATGTGGGGCAGCAGCTGCAGTGCATGCACAGAAGCAGACGGGGAATTTCCAGGTCTCATAGGTGTTAAGCTCATGGTGGTAAGAGCAGCAGAAAAGTCTAGTGAGGAGAAGTGAGTGAGGAATGAAAAAGGGAAGGCAGCTCCCATAGTAAAAATAGCTGAAGAAAAAAAAAAAAAAGAAACCATGGGTAATAAAATAAAAATTTAAAACCCCCTGCATTCATTCTTGGTTTCATGATGAGTTAGTAAAGGCATGAGAGGCAAATTTAGCCACAGTATATAAAAACATCTCAATGTGAAATGAGATAGAATATAATCTGGGTTCAACAGTTTTAACTCAATCCATTGAAAAAAACATATCAGAGTTCCGTTCTTGTGGTTCATACATCCTAAAACAGAACTTGGCACCTTATTTGCCTCTACAGTGAGCCACTGCTAGGATGTGGACAGAGCAGGTGTGCAGCAAGAAAGGAAGAGCTGAGAGCCATCACAGCAGCTAACTGCTGTAAGTCAAGAATTCCTGGTTCTGCTTTGCTGGAGGTCAGTTTCCACATGAAATCCAGTGAAGTCTAGCCCATTGCTTTAGAAACTCCAGAAGACCAGAGAAAGATGACATCTTGGAACTGATGACAAGAGGGAAGTCTTTGAGTCAAACACTCCTCCAGCACCTTCTAGGAATGCTGTCAGCAGCATTTTTGAACTTCATAATGAGACTGACAGTACTAGGCTAGCAGGGATCAGGAGAGGAGCAGACCCAGCAGTTTGGAGTAGCAAACTCGACCATTATGGAACATCCCGTCAATGGCAAACCAAGGCTTGTAATTTAAATCAGCTTCCTGACTAAGCTGCATGAGCTGTTCCTTCACGTTTCTTCTGGCACATTAGAAGTGTGCTGGATGCGTTGCATGTGGTCAGGGCTGCAGCACACCAACAATTCCATCTCCTGCAGAGGAGTTGTGGTGTCCTGCTCCTCACCAGAGCCAAGCACAAAGAAACAAGCATTGCAGATCACCAATTAATAATGTCTGGGTCTGCCAGCACCATTATACACCAGAAAACTTCACAGACATTATTTTGTGTGTGCCCAGAGCTTTGACTAGGAGCTGAAGCCACTCCAGGAAAACAGCCAGCAGCTTTACAGATTAAAGGAGATGAGGAGTTCCTTGTAAGCTTGTACTAAAAGGGATCCTTCTAGGTCAAGTCTTCACCTACCTATGTGCTCCATTTCCCCTTCTTCAGTGTTTTTTTCTCAAAAATCTACCAGAAGTTCTTCTCTTACCTCATAAGAGAGGCAGCACTGAGGCAGGGCAAATCATCTCCAACATTACAGTAACCAGGTCAGGTGTCTACAATTACAGACTTGGAAGGCTTTGATTGCTACAGGCTGCTCTGCACACCACAGTACAGTGTTTCTGCTGCCTTTGTTTAATCCCCCATTCATTCTGTTTTGTGTGCTTTGCTTGATATTGAATTTATGACCATGCTATCTCTTTGTAATGCATTCTGGTGTAATTACTGATGCTTGCTAGGCTGACTCTTCAGGATTTCTATTTGCTGTGTTCTCCCAACTCAAGTCTCTCAAAACTCATGTCAGAGTAGCCAGAAGCCTTGCATACAGTGAAGGAAGATGCACTTGACTAACATTATCCTCCTTTGCTGCAGTGGTGAAGGACCAGAAGTAGGCATCAATACATTTTTCAGCATCTTTGCATGTTAGGAGTAAACTGATTAGCAGCAAAAGCGGTAGCATGTTCTGTACACAATACAAGGAGAAAGGTCTTTTAGCACCTTGGCACTGAGTAATCTATCATAAATTCTTGTAAACCCATCAGATTATTCAAAGTAGTAAGCAGAATATGAAAAACATTAATGGCCTCTGCTTAAGAGGCCACTGCTACTGGATAATTTGATCATGCCTGTCCAACAGAAGAGACACTTCTCAAGAGCCACTTAGCTCCTAACAGGTTCAGTCAACCTGAGATAATGACAACCCCTTCTCTTAACATTTGCAGACTGTTCTGGAAGACACAGTGGAAATACTTCAGGTGTTCAAGGAATTTTACTCTTGGGAAAGAAGGAAATAGACAAAGTTATTTTGTTTGTTTTAATTGATCACTGATTAAATTGTAATACATTTCAAAGCAAAATATTCTGTTCAAGGACATTGTACCAAACATTAAATCTACTTTTAAACAAGGCTTAATTTGACTATATTACCTTATATACATACAGGTATAAGTTCATTTCACTAGTAGCAAAATTACACAGTACATCACATTTCCTGAAAGATGGCAAAAACAGGAATTGAGTGTCTGTTCTGTCCTTCCACACACTCCAAATCAGAAAAAAAACACAGGTACTGAAAGTACAATCACAACTACAGGTAAATACAATAAGGACCTCAGAGCAAGCGAAGACCTTATGAGAGATGACAATCACTTCTAGAAATCTACATTGCAAATATACAGTACATTCCACTAGAGTTTTGGGAGTTCCCACAATGCCTCTTAATCCCCTTTTGGTAATAAAAGCTTCTATGACAACACGTATCCTTCATAAAAAGTACTGAAATAGTATTCTTGGAGCATAGGTTGCAAGCTTAATGCAGTCTAAGCTGCAGTCCACAATAAGCTCACCCAAAAGAGAGTAAGCAAGCACTGCAAGATTCATCAAGTTCAGAACCAGAGCTCAGCTCCTCATCATTGAGCTTCTGGGTGCAAGAGCTGCTCTGCACCAGGGACAGGCTCAGAGGGTGGGAAATGATACATTCCTTTTACAGCTTTTGCAGGTCAATCACCTGCAAGTTCTTGACAGGAAATGTCAACTGAGTCGTATAAGATTAATTTGAATTTATTTACAAAGCAGCCATTACATTGCAATTGTTAGACAATTAAGGACACAGCTAAGGAGCAACAAGGTTTCCACATTTATGCTATTTCTGAAAACACTTACACTTCTGTGAGCAGCAGTGAGTATGCAAACACGCTGCCACTGCTGGGGAAGCTGCACTCTGGCCTCAGGAAGTGGAATGGTGCACAGAACACAGCAGCCCCAAAGGCCTGATGAGATTTCTGTTATGCTCAAACTCCGCTTTGGTTTGTGCAAAAAACTGACCTTGTGCACGTAGCTTTCACAAACTAACTATTGCTCTGTGCTTGGCAAGACAAAATGGGAGGAATTGTCTGGAATTACCAAGAACACGGAGGTAAACAAGGCATTTTTCATGAGCACTAGTTACCCTCACAAGTACAACACCAAAGACTCTGCCACTGTTCCAAGGAAATGTACTTCATCAGCACTTTTGGAGGTTTTCTGTTCTGTACTTGCTGAAGAAGCTACCACTGATTAGCAAAATAGCTGAACTTGACCCAATCAACAATGCTGAGGACCTTCTCCTTCCAGACTTTATGTCTAACTAACCACTAACACTCTTTGTTGCTCTTAAGGAACTCTGACAGCAATAGGAAACACCAAAAAGGCATGCCTGAGGTTGAAGACACCAACTGATTTCCTCTGGTTAAAATACATCACTTGTTTCTATTAGTCAGACTCCAGCCACACTCTCTTAACACCAATTCTTTCTCACAGATCT